GCAATTCAGTATACTTTTCATGAAAAAATTCCAGAAACGCTCACAATTTCTTAACAGAGTATTCCTCAGTGAGGACATAATTAGATTAAAAAACATTTTCATGGACCGCTTTTCACAGTCGAATATTGTCATGGACAGAATTTCACAGTGTCATGGACAGCATACTAGCGAAATATTGTCCAGATGGAAATCCCTACATTTCATGGACAAGAACACTATTTCATAATTAAATATTGTCTTAGACATTATTTCAACAGAGGCGTAGCGTTAAAATTTATATTGGTACGGCAGGAAATCTAATGGATTGCAGAGCGATCCATCCCGCGTCGCAGAGGCGGTTATTCGGCAGGGGTTCTGGGCCGCTGTAGGCCCCGAGAAATTTTGGGATAAATGGTGCCAAATCCTGCATTCTGACACTTAAATTTCACTCCTGAAAACCCCATTTTTATGAGCAACGATTTGACATATGACACTTTTTTAAAGTCAACTTCAGTGTAGAAAAAAGAATTTGAAACATGAAATGTGTCAAAAAAGACAATCATCCAACAAGATGGAAAAAGTGAAATATCATCGCCTTAACTTAAATCTTTCAATTTGTGTCGGACACCTTGCTAGGGGTCTTGGCATGCTCCTGCTTGGAAATTATTATAAAGAAAAATTGTAAATGCGTGCAATTCTGTATAGCGGTTGCGTGAAATTAAGAACTAATTTTAGACTATCAAATCTTCGCTTATTGATACAAGCATGACGAAAAAAACTGTTGAAAACTGATTATTTAAGTGAATTTTCTATGTCCAAAGACCATAACTCTGCACAAAATTATCAGGCCGGAACAAAATTCCAACTTGATCTGTAACTTGTCATAATAAAACTACACACTAATTATCAAATTAATACCTTCAAGAAAGACAAACAAACCTACCACTAAATTCCTCAATCAAATTTCCCAAAGAAAAGGAAAACAAGAGTGCACACGCTGAAATGTCTCGCCTTCTTTACTAATCATTGATATTATGTTGATAGTCCTAAATATAAAGCTTTATTACAACTGTCACATAAACTTAACATTAACCAAGTAAACTAAACATTGACCAATGAACCATGAAAATGAGGTCAAGGTCAGATGAACCATGCTAGGCAGGCATGTACAGCTAACAATTCTTCCATACTACAAATTTAACTGACCTATTGCTTATAGTTTAAGAAAAACAGACCAAAACACAAAAACTTAACACTAAGCAATGAACCTTGAAAATGAGGTCAAGGTCACATAAAACCTGCGTGACTGACATTTAGATCATAAAATATTTTCATACACCAAATATAGCTGAACTATTGCATATAGTATTAGAAAAACAGACCAAAACACAAAAACTTAACTTTGACCACTGAACCATGAAAATGAGGTCAAGGTCAGATGACACCTGCCAGCTAGACATGTACACCTTACAATCATTCCATACACCAAATATAGTAGACCTATTGCATACAATACAGGAAAAACAGACCAAAACACAAAAACTTAACTATAACCACTGAACCATGAAAATGAGGTCAAGGTCAGATGACACCTGCCAGCTAGACATGTACACCTTACAATCATTCCATACACCAAATATAGTAGACCTATTGCATACAGTACAAGAAAAACAGACCAAAACACAAAAACTTAACTATAACCACTGAACCATGAAAATGAGGTCAAGGTCAGATGACACCTGCCAGTTGGACATGTACACCTTACAGTCCTTCCATACACCGAATATACGAGACCTATTGCTTATAGTATATGAGATATGGACTTTACCACGAAAACTTAACCTTGTTCACTGATCCATGAAATGAGGTTGAGGTCAAATGAAAACTGTATGACGGTCATCAGGACCTTGTTAGGTACGCACATACCAAATATAGTTATCCTATTACTTATAATAAGGGAGAATTTAACATTACAAAAAATCTTAACTTTTTTTTCAATTAGTCACTGAACCATAAAAAAGAGGTCAAGGACATTGGACATGTGACTGACTGAAACTTCGTAACATGAGGCATCCATATACAAAGTATGAAGCATCCAGCTCTTCCACCTTCTAAAATATAAAGCTTTAAAGAAGTTAGCTAACGCCGCCGCCGCCGCCGCCGCCGCCGCCGCCGCCGGATCACTATCCCTATGTCGAGCTTTCTGCGACAAAAGTCGCAGGCTCGACAAAAATCCAAAATGTCATTTTGTCTTTTAAAAATCTTTTAAATAAAAATGAGTTATTTCCCTTTGAACAGAAATCTACTAATTAGTAAGTATTTCATCAAAAATTCTAGGGAAAGGGCTTTAACTGAACAAAGAGAAAAGCTAAAATCGTGAAAATTGAACTTGACTTGTAACTTGTCATGATAAATCAATAAACCAAATATCAAATCAATATCTTCAAGCACGAAGAAAAAAAGTCTGGAAAACTGATTTGCCGGACTGACAGATGGACAGACAGACAGACAGACAGACAGACAGACAGACAGACAGACAGACAGACAGACAGACGGACGGACAGACAGACAGACAGACAGACAGACAGACAGACAGACATACAGACGGACGGAGTGCAACTTTGTCGGTAGGGGACTAATTAGGGGGTAAAAGGAACTATGATCAGAACGATGAACAGATTATCAAGATTCCTTGTACAAACACCGAAAAATAAATGACCTGCGGAATTTCTCAAATATTGTCAAGTCTGCATGGGTAAGACAAATGAGGAAAACTATGACACAGCTAACAAATCTATTTTCATTGTGAATATGGTCACACTGCCATAACGATCAATAATTCTTATATGATTTGCATATTAGAGAATACGTTGATATGATTGGTTGAGAGGACTGCCGGTAGTTGTTCTTGACGTTGTTTATTTTTCGATAGATGACTTTGACCGAACTTCTTTTCGTAACCAATGTAAACAAGATGGCGGCGATAATGACACAATCCGGATCGACGGTAACAAAATTTATTTTCAATTCGCGTTAATAGGTCTTAATAGTTAAATTAAATTAAAAACACAAAACATTCGTTTGAATGATAATAAGAGTTTTTGTAGTTTATTTTTTATCAGATTGCAAATTTCATCGAGCACATATTTTTGCGTTAACCAACAAATATATTCATGCGCCAGGCCTATTCAATGACACAAATATACAATTTACGTGTGATAGAGGTTAGGAGTGTGGAAAAATAAATTCCTTATCTCCAATTTTAAAGAATTATAAGGATTAAACGCCTGTTTAACGGAATTTATTGGTGTATAAACTGTACCAAGTCACTCACAAACATATCATAAAAGTCCTTCGGACTTTTATTTGTTTCTGAGTGAATTGGTCGAGTTTATACACCAATAAATTCCTTTAAAAAGGCGTTTGATCCTATAATGAATTCATGACAACGCTAGAACTTTTGAAGCGATGACTTGAAATATATAGTAGAAACATAACAATGTTCAAACAACTTAGAACAAACGAAGTTCGAACATTTTCAGCTGATCCAGAGAGGGACATCCCAAATTCACCATCATTTCTAAAGGCATTGTGATTAGTGTATAAAAATGCATTCACATAAATTTCAGCTGCACAAAAATATCGTAAGTAAAACGCAGGCTAATATTTCATTATCTACATAAAAAATAATAACATAAAAATAAAAAAATAATGTAGAAAAAAGTAATTTTTTATCAAATAAAAAAACCGATTTCAGGAAAAAAAGTTGGTTTTTGGAAAGAAATGCAAAGAGTTGGGTTCGTTTAGAGAATATAATGAAATAATATTTTCCTATAGTGTTAAACGTGTGTGTACTGTAACTCGTATTAGTATACCTTACATATATATTTCAAACAATCCTATTGGGTAAATAAAGGGTTATCACGTGACATGGAATAATTCAGTTAATCTTCATTCAATTGCAAGGAAGAACGAATAACCCTAAAAATTTACACCAGCGTTAAATAACCCTATCATTCACCGGTGAATAACCTTTTTAGTTTGTTGATTTGTACCCATGAAAATGACGTCACAGACGCAAATAAACAAAATGGCAATGTTCAAGTTACAGGAAGCCCATTGATCGAGAGAAGAGGAAATAAGGCTTTTGACGTGCATCTTGTGTCGATGATATCTCTAATAACTGTCCTTTTCAGGGCCATCAATATTTTACAAAAAGAATCTACCTTTGTTGTACATACGAGAATTCTAAGACACAAATTACATGTATTTTTGAACGTCAACTTGTGTTTGTTACTGACTCAAGTAAGGGTAAGTGCTATTACAATTATTCAAAATGCCCTTCCACTGTTAGTTCGGTATAATAAAACAATTGTGGCCCCTTAGAAGCGATGAATATCCAAAATTGTCAACCCTTAAAAGGTTTGGATATTCACCTTTTCAACGGGCCATTATAAGTTATATGGTTCGCTCCTGACCCCCTACAGATCCATAGAGGGTTAGTAAAATCCATAGGGGGGAGGCCGAAGGTCTGTAGGGGGTCAGTAGTGAACCGTTTAACGAATTTATCGCACGCGATACTTTTTCTGCAGCGTTTTGTAGAAAAATAAAACAATGAAATACAAAAACATCAATAGATGACGTCACCATTAACAGTAGCCGTGACGTCATGAACCCACTTTGAAATTTACTAACCCCCTACGGATCCATAGGGGGTCACCACGTGACGGCGTTAAACCAATCACAACGTAATAATTTACCCGCGGTGCGATAAACACTTCTGCAGCGCCCTCTTCAAATTGTCATCTTCCGACAAAAGACGACAAACACGGCACAGCATTAACACCTATATCTTGAGGTATTTATAATTAAAAAAATTATAAAAAATAACTGTGAAGAGTCCTTAATTCTTATAGAGACACACACACACACACACACCTCTAGGGGACAACGGTCTTACCACGAGACGAACATCACATTTATTATTTCCCCCTAGTTCCGCGAAAAGACACGTTATTTATTTCCTAGTAAACTCCACTTAACTTTAACTTCCTGATAAGTTTTTGGCTCATATGTTGAAGAAAACTTTTATTTTGTGAACTTTAAAAGAAACAAGGTAAGAAAGAGAATAGTTTTACAAATGTTTTAATCTATTTTTCACAAATTTCTCCATATCTTCATTTCTGTATTTTTTTAGTTCGTTTAAGTTCGTTTTTTCCCTCTACTCTATAACTTTCTAGTTTTTTTTCTTTCTATTCTTCATATGTTAATGCTCCCGCTGTACAATGCTGTAGAACACGGTGTTACCCTTGTCTGTTCGTCCGTCTGTCCGACCAAATTTTGTTTCTGCATTCTTGCTTAAGTTTGCCAATGCTAAGAACTGAAACTAGCAGACAGAGTTTGAATTTGGGTTGTTCATTTTCAGGGTTAGTACATGTACATGTTAGTATACAATATACAATACAAAGTATCCCAAATGGCAATCTAGCACATGTATAAGGGGGGACGGACAGCTATTGAGGGAGGTGGGAGGTGGGGCGCGGGAGGTGGAAGACAAAAAATAGGTGGGAGAGAAAAAAAGATTCTGAAAGTGGGAGGTGGGAGATAGGGGGGTTGGAGGTGGGAGAAGGGTACCCCCCTGTCCACCCCTCATGTATAAGATAGTAGTAACATTTATATATTGTATATTTTGAGACTTTTAGACACATGTCTATTGTTGAAGACTATATGTTTCCCTCTAGATGTCTTAACTATTTGTGTCATTGGGTTGCTGTCTCATTGACATATTGTATAGACACCTGTCTATTGTTGAAGACTACATGTTGCCCTCTAGATGTCTTAATTATTTGTGTTATTGGGTTGCTGTCTCACTGACATATTGTATAGACACCTGTCTATTGGTGAAGACTATATGTCAGCCTCTAGATATCTTAGTTATTTGTGTCATTGGGTTGCTGTCTCACTGACATATTGTATAGACACCTGTCTATTGTTGAAGACTATATGTTGCCCTCTAGATATCTGAATTATTTGTGTCACCGGGTTGCTGTCTCACTGAAACATTGTATAGACACCTGTCTATTGTTGAAGACTATATGTTGACCTCTAGATGTCTTAATTATTTTTGTTATTGGGTTACTGTCTCACTGACTCATTGTATAGAACATAGGGGTAAAATGCAGTTTTTGGCTTATATCTCAAACACTAAAGCATTAAGAGTAAATCTGATATGAAGTAAAATTGTTCCTTAGGTCAAGTTCTATCAGCCATGAATTTTTCAGACGAATCTAACAACCCATAGTTGGGTTGTTGCCACTAAATTGATAATTTTATGGAAATTTTGAAGTTTTTAGTTCTTATCTTGAATATAGTTATATTATATGATAAGATAAACTGTAAACAGCAAAAATGTTCAGCAAAGTAAGATCTACAAAAAAGTTTTATATGATTAAAATTGTCAATCGTCCCCTTAAGAAGTTATCGCTCTTTAAAGACATTTTTTTCTGAATTTGTTCATCTAGTTTGCTTGCTTTAAAACTGCTGAATCAATTTCAGCAAAACTTAGGCTGAAAGAGTTTCAGAATATCTAGTATACATTTTGTATTTTATTTCCTTGTACGTCAAGAAACATAGCCACTATGACTAAAATGTAACATAGGGGTAAAATGCATTTGTTTTCGCTTTTGAAGAAAATATAACAGATACAAAGAACATTTCAATGGAATTTTTAAGACACGTATTAATATATGTAGAAAAGTAATATTATCATTGTGGAAAGATTTTAAGCCAAAAATAACAGGTGAGCGATTCGGGCTCTTGAGAGCCTCTTGTTTTTTGTCAATGTTGCCTATTCTAAAAAAATATAATAGATAGAAAGAAACTTAAATAAGTAAAAATGATCAGCAAGACAAGATTTACAAATAAGTCTAACAACCAAAATTGTATTTCACTCCTTATTGGAGTTAATGCTCTTTACAGTCTTCATGATAAATTTTTTAATCCTCAGGCATTGACAGGACTGAACCTGAATTTTACGAAAATTTCAGTTAGATTCTATTGGCCTGTAGATATTTACAGAGCCTGGGATGGTGGGCTTGTGGTTCAGTGCAAGAATTATCTTTAATAGAGATTGTTAGAATTTTGTTGGTTTTTTTTGTTGCCTATTAAAGGCAACAGTAGTATACCGCTGTTCGAAAGTCATAAATCATTGGAAAAGAAAACAAATCCGGGTTACAAACTAAAACCAAGGGAAACACATCAACTATAAGAGGAAAACAACGAAACAACAGAAACACTAAAGTGCAACAAAAACCAAACGACAATGTAACACACACAAAAACGAACTATAAGATAACAACTGCCACTTTCCTGACTTGGTACAGGACATTTTATGAAATAATGGTGGGTTAAGGTATCACAATACAAAGATTTTTTTACTTCCAATCTCCAACATTTAAAATTCTTTTACTTTCTTAAATTAATAAAAAAGGTATATATAGATAGATAAAAGAATAATCTTTTAAATGAATGCACTATTTTTGTTATGCAATTAATGGCAAAATCTTGGTCAGTTCACTTGAATGAATTTAGCTCTATCATCTCTATAACTTATACAGGAAATTTTAACGAAATCTTAATCAACACAGCAGGAGCTACAAAAGTATGTCTCAAATTATCTCTATCGTATTCCATTCTCTCATAAATCTGTAATTAGTGTAAACATCCTTATCACATAAAAGTAGATAATGTTTGATTAGGTGTAAAATTTGATCTATACATTCTACCGAAATCTGAGACTCCCTTTTGTAGATAATGTCTCTAGGAACAACATGTAATAAAATCAACCCTCTCGGGGGTATCAATGAAGAAGCTAATTTCAATAGAAAGTGGAAATTTCTTGTGAAATTTTGTAGACACAGTTAACATTAAAATTGATTACATAATTGTTGTATAATACTAACCTTGCATTAATTTGAACGAGTAATCTGTTAGCTATCCATAAATACCACTTTTATAAATTTTCAAGCATTATTAAGAAGTTACAGCATTTTAAAACTGGGGAATTGGAAGTATAAAATCTTTGTATTGTGCTACCTTAAACGAAAATCTATAATAAGCATTATAAGTAGATAGAAACCTAAATAAGTACAAATGATCAGCAGGACACGATCTACAAATAAGTTTACGCTCGAAATTGTCAGTTCACTCCTTAATCATGTTTTTCTTTAATGACGAATTTTACCCATTTTTAGTGTTTAGATTTTTAAATAGATAATTACTTTAAAAAGCAAAAATGCTCAACAAGACATGATCTACAAATGATTCAAATTTTACTGAAATTGTTAATTGACTCGATAAATGCTATATTTAGATGTTAGCTGTTATTGGCTTTGGTAAAAGTTTGAGTTATTACATTATACTAAATACTCGACCTTTATGTATCATTATTGAATTCTATTTTTGTCATTCATTTAACATTTCCGTCTGAACATACTATCTTGTAAGTTCGATTGTTTTTATGTCATGTGGTTTTCTTTGTTTGAATCAAACAAATTTATGTCAAATGTTAAGTGTTTCCTGTAATTGTTGTGAAATTGTGAACATATATTATATGAAATAAAATATAAACAACTATTTCTGCACTAGTTAAAATTTCCTGTTTTCAGTTTCACGTTGTAAGATTGGTACATGTGTCTATTTGTTGTTTTGCTTTATTATAGTCCGATGAGTCAAGCCATTCCAAACTTTTCTACGGTTTGTTCTTTTGGTGTGCTGTAATAACAGTGTCATAGGTTAGGGGAGGTTTGAGCTATCATAAACACATTTAACCCTGCCACATTCTATATGTGCTTGTTCTAAGTCAGGAGCTAAATGTTAAGTTACTGTCTGTTATATTTGTGTTTTCTTTATTGTGTGACGGGATTGCTTCCCTTAGAACAGGTGGTAGATACTTAGTCAGCCGTAAGCGGTTGAGCTAAGAATGTACTTCTTTAGCTCAGTCGGTTAAAGCGCTGCCTTGTAACACAGAGGTCCCGGGTTCGAGTCCTGGTGGAGACATGCGATTTTGCAAGTAGAATCATGCTCTCCGGTTACAATTGTTTTGTCATAAACAAGGCTGTTGGTTTTTGATGTTTGAATTCACATTCTCACATAAACGGGTCTAATTTATAGCTGACTATAGGATTTAGGAGATTACTGTATTGTATTTTAAGCCTGGTCTTCGTAAAACGTAGATTTACGCGTCGCTAGGTAAACTCAATTTGCGACAATAAAAACAAGTTATATCTATTCTAATGCAGCATATTAAAATAAATACCATTTAATAAATATGTTGGCGTAAAATGACATAAATGAAAAAGTCCGCGAAACTGTTGCATTGTCTTTAGCAACTAAACAATGTGACGTCATGTATACTCACGATGTCAAACATAAAACTCTTATAGACGTATTTTTACCTTTCGTACGCTTCAGAAGGGTTTCAACGTTGACAAAAAGAACATTCTGAGGCTCAAAATATGACTTTCATGTTTATTTTGTGAGAATTAAAAAATGGAATTCAAAATGGTGGCTTTCCTAGTAACGGACTGGTAGAACGTGGAATTTACCCCTTCAAAATATTTGTCAACGTCCAATGAAAATTATTGTTTCAAACGAATGGCATTAGAATGACGTCTTTCTCATTGTTGAAGGTTTTACAGTGGTCTTCAATTGTTCAAATCCGAGTCATTTTGACTCTGCTGAACTGTTGTCTCATTTTCAATTACACCAAATCTCCCTATTTTATGTTGGGCTGGATAGGTAGCGAGTATGAAATGGTTTTTGTTACTCCAGTAAAAATAAATATGGAAGCACAAAAAATGCAAGTTATTGTTGACGATTTTGAAAATAACGGCGGCATTAACCTAAGCTTCATATTTGTGAAGATGGAAGACCTATATGCTTTATTCTTTGTTTTTAGATACTTATGTTACGCAATTTCCGTCTGTCACTTGTCCACTGTACTTGACCATTTTCATGGTTAAGTGACAACTTGAAAAAAAATTTTGTTGTAATGTTAATTTCTCTCTTAGTATGAGAAATAAGATATATATTTAGTATGTGCGTACCTTGTAAGGT